AAGAGCTATAAACCATGAACCAAACCAACCAACGAGCGAAAGAACTACAATCCCATGAAGCATTGCAAACGACTCAATCTGAGAAATCTAAAACGACTAATTTAAAGTTATTGGTTGTATCTATAGAAGCAATATATTTAAGATTATTGCTAAAAACGCACTTCTATACAAATATTTCAGTGTTTTGGGAGCATTTTTGCGGTGCTCTTTTGCACACCCTACTCACAGCGATTCACTGATTGGTGGAATTTTCTGCACAGCATCATGGGTAATGTAGTTCTTCACCACGAATTCTGCGTATTGTGTGATTACTTTAAATATACGCTGAATTAACGTGAACGAATGGGTTCAACGAAAGCATATACAATCGATTAGCTCACAACAGCTCTGTCTTTAAAGGTTTATCAATTATTGTTAAAAATCTATTTCCTTATGGAGAAAATGAATGGAGTTTTTACTTCCACAACCGACTATTGAGCTCTTTTGCATTGCATCAACAGTTTCAAAACCGTAAGAAAGGAACTTGAGCGTCTTACCGCGCGAGAGCATCTTGCGTGGAGTTTTATCCTTCTTTTCCCTCTCCTCATTCTCGTACTCGTCTTTCGAGGATTTCTCTTCCTCTTTATCGGACGGACAGCTGATGTGAAGCTGAATGATGTCCTTCAAGGGCGGAGCCAGATTAAAAAAAATGAATATTAATGACCGTATCCTAACAGTGGCTTCATAAGGGCTTCGATTGCCGTTTGCAGCTGTTACAGAATCAAATTCTAGTGAGATCAGAAGTATTTTACTTGCCAAAATACATTTTGCACAGCCTACACCTCAAGCTTTCTAAATCACGAAGGTCTCTGAGTTTTGGTGAATAATGCACTATTCTTTACTGATAAAGCCACCAGAGTTTACCTGTGATTCTGGAGGACCGTCGGTCGAAAACGGTCCTGAAGATTCCTCACAAACTGCAAGACTCCTCACCAGCTTCAGCTTCGCATTCGACTGAGACAGAGAGCAGAAATGCAAGACCAAGAAAGTTCACAGATATCATCAACAACACAACCAAGATGCATTACGAGGAATAAACGAGGTGAAGTTATATTTCAGGCAAATTGAACAGAAAAACAGCTGCTAGTTTTGAATACTGTCAATATGAAATCAATTCACTGCAATTTCAGTTCTTATTGTGCGCGTGAAAACTTCTGCATTCGTAACCTTCCATTAAAAACGTAATAACTCTGCAGCATCTTTTCTGCTGATGCAAACGAGACTGTGACAGCGAGGAATCCTATGCTGTATTCATGTGATTAGTACAAAGGGTAATTACTAGTGGGAAGCGCTCTGACAGCAAGCCTGTCAATTAAAGAATCACGATGAGAAAGTGAAATCTGAAATTGCACGATGCATCTATTTTATTCCAAAAGCACGTAAAAATGCATCATGCTGAAAGTATCATTTCAGATACCCTAAATAGGAACTGGCCAGAAGGGGTTAAATGTATGTTTTCAATCAGATTCTAGATTTTAACAGAGTCCTGCATTATTTCCTGCTGAATGTTTCACTATGGTTACATTATAGACATTAATGCTTCGGAAATGTTTAATTTTGTTTGTAAGGGACGGTTAAATGTGATTGAGCGTGTGTGTGAGTGTGTATGTGTGTGTGCGCATGTGTGAGTATCAGTGTGTGTGAGTGTGTGTGTGTGTGTGTGTGAGTGAGTGCGTGTGTGAGTGAGTGCGTGTGAGTGTGCGTGTGCGCGCGTGTGTGAGTGAGTGTGCGTGTGTGAGAGTGTGTGTGCGTGCGTGTGTGTGAGTATGTGTGCGTGTGTGAGAACATCTGGTAAGGACAATCATCACACTTGGCAGGTTTGCCAACTAGTGCAAAGGCAACAGAACTGAGCGAGAGGTCGACAGGAAGAGAGTCTCGCTTTCGTCTCCGCATTCATTTAAAGGACTGGTCTGGTTTCATATGCATCTAGAAATGTATCCTAAATACACCTTCCAATATTTGAATTATGTTAACAAACCATAAATGAAACACTACACATGGAATATTTAACATGCAGCTTCAAAATGCTTTTTTTAGAGACTTTGAAGACTTTCAGACTTGTCATGAACCCTTTAACCCAAGTCCTCTAATTAATGCACTGACCATTTATGTTTTACTTTATTTAATTTTTTAATACATTTTTGGATATCTGTGTTATTTATTTTAATTGCATACAATTGAGATGTTAATTATGATTTTTGCATTGAAAGTAATACATAAACAAGATTTCACGCAATAAGACATCCAAAAATCCAATAAGTTGTTATGGGTCGGTTGAGTCGAGGTTAAACTCATGTTTAGGACTGAACTACACGTGCTGTGTGTCGTCGCACGCTTTACCTTGGCTCGTTTCCTAGTGTGGCCGTGATTCTGACAGCGCCGCTACGGGGAAAGACCAAAATATTTATTAGTGACAGTTTAAAATCATTCATTAATGATGAACTTCAGCACCAAACAAAACCTCAGCGGGAAAATGACAGATACTTCACAGAAAGTAGCTGACAAATAACATGGAGAAAATGCATTCTATTCAACATCAAGATTTACATGTGTATCAGGGAAAATATATAAAATATAATATATATTTCTGGTGCTGTAACTGGTCACCATTTCATCAGCTTTTAGCCTTTTTTCCAGTTCACTTACATTAGTTTTGTGGCAGATCAAACTGTTTCAGATTGAGTTTCGCATGTCAAGGCATAAAACTTTTTAATAAAGGTTCGACAAGTTTTAACCTATTTTACTCTCATTAATGCTGAAATCTAACTGTATGTACACTACTATTCCAATTTTTGGGGTCTGTAAGCATTTTTTTGAAAGAAATTAATATTTTTGATTAAAAGGTGACAGGTAAGACATTTATAATGTTACAAAAGATTTCCATTTCAAATAAATGCTGTTCTTTTGAACTTTCTATTCATCTGTGAATCCTGAAAAATAAAAACTATCACAGTTTCAACAAAAATATTGTGCAGCACGACTGTTTTCAACATTGATAATAATCATAAATGTTTCTTGAGCAGCAAATCAGCATATTAGAATGATTTCTGAAGATCATGTGACACTGAAGACTGGAGTAATGCTGCTGAAAATACAGAGAAATAAATTACACTTTAACAGATATTCACATAGAAAACATCTATTTAAAATATAAAAATATTGTAATTTTTTTAATGTATTTTTGATCAAATAAATGCACCTCTGATGAGCAGAAGAGACTTTTAAAACAATAAAACGTCTAATCGACCCCAAACGTGTGAATGCTAATGTAGCTGTTGTCTCTAAATAAATGCAGGTTTGAGGAAGACAGTAAGGAAAGTCTAAAGTCTCCTTCCTAGCGTTTCTGTGTCTCACCTGTGCATCCTGGGAGAGGTTGTCGTCTGGTTCTGTGCTGTCGGAGTTGGCGTCTTTTGCGAGTGCCGTCGGGCTGATTTTGCCACGAATGCCCACGGAAGCATCGGTGGACAGAGAGCCGTCGCCCTCCAACATCCCGTCAGGTGTGAAGACCACAGACATGATCCCTCAAAGCACACACCTCACAAACCCTGAACGCACAAACACGAGCGCGTGAGGAGGAGGAGATGCAAAAATAGATCTTTTGGTCATCAGTATTTGTTATCAAACACAGTTCAGTCAGTCTTTACCTGACACACCTGGGCTGTAGTGTGATGGTGTGTGTTCTTCTGCGTGTGTGTGTGTGTGTGTGTGTTCCTATGGCTGAGATGAGAGCGGGGGGGACGTCATGGTGAACGAGCGTCTTCTCTGTTTCCCTGCATCCTACACAACGTTCTTATCCACACAATCGTCACAGCTCCACCTGCTGGAGAGAAACACTGGTTAGATGACACAGAAAGCACAATATAAACAGATTAACTCAAGATATACATGTTTAAGTGTGAATACGGCAGCAGACGCTATGAATATCTCTAGGGCTGCATGTGTACTGAAGAATGTGCAGTATATACTGTACACCGCCTACTACGTTAAAAATAGAAGTATGCAATAATAAACAGTTGTCACATGACCTCATCATCAGAACCAGGATCAGAATGAGCTTTACTGCCAAGAGCGTTGAAGCACACGAGAAATTTGTCTTGGTTACAAAATGATTCAGAACACAGTAATACAGCAAAATAATAAATAAATAAAATAAAAAAATTTATTTATAAAAATTTAAATACACAAATAAAAAATACATGAATAACAAAAAAAAAAAAAAAGAAAAAGAAAATAAAATGAAAAAATATATATAAAATAAAAAATTCAATTTAAATTAATTCATCATACTTGAAATAGAAGATTGCATTGTGGGATACATTGTATATCTAATGCAGTATGCTGCACATTTGGCCAAATGTAGGTCATCCAGGCTTTCTGCAAGCAGAACGTTCACATACTGCAGAAACATGACGAGGAGAGTGACAGGATGTGGTTCTTACATCATAAAGACAGGAGTGACTGAAGTGTGGCATCTGAGCATTTGTCCGAAAACACATTAGACCCACGCGTGTGTGTGTGTGGATGGAGGGACAGTTTGTGCAAAAGGTTCAGGGTTGAGTAACTTGCCATCTGCTGTAAAACACACACACACACAGGAAATGTTTTTAAAAGCACACAAGTCAAAGCGCATAATGCAGCAGCGGAGTGACTGAGGCGAGAGAGCGGAGGAAACTCCAGCGCTGACGTCATACTGCAGAGAGACTGAAGAGCGACTGAGCGCGCTCAGATAGCTGGGATTCCCGACTGCAGAAACCACGTCACCGGCAGCACATGACACCACCGACCAATCATTCACACACACACACACACACACACACACACACTGCAGCCATCCTTAAGAATCAACTGAAGCAGATGAAGAGGTCTGAATGAGTAAATGAATGAATCTCTCTCTCCTTCTGTTGCCAAGGAGACACAGATGTCAGCCTCAGCTGCTTGTGTTCGAGAGATTTAAACATGAATATGAGGCAAACACTAATGACTGCATGTGTAAAGTGGAGCACATCGCTCAGCCGGACCACCTTAGTGGTGCTGGATAAAAATAAACCAATATCTGTCATGCACTGGCACATTATACAACACACCAGAGCAGCTGTGCACACATGTGCTGCTACACGACACACACACTCTCTCACACACACACACACACACACACTCTCTCA